CAGAGATAGGAGACAGTGCACTGATAAATGAAATCAGTAATAAAAGTTCAGTTCAGTATACTGGTAACATCTAGCGTTATCAGACTGCATAGTAACGGATTCTATGAATGGCAGCTCCTTATGTAATTGTTTGAGAAAGGCTTCCAACATGCAACTCAGTGCCAATGCATCTTGCTTATTTGTTCCATCTAGAATTTGATCACAATAAACCGTGTATGGCACCGCATCCGTCTCTACAAGCAAGTAGTAACTAGCAAGAAACCCATGCCATCCTATCCCACGTTTTCCAAAGTGTTGCTGAGTGGTCTCTCTTGCTGACATAGACTCGAACTTCATCTTCCAGTCCATTACAACAACAGCGTGAGTAGTAGGGTTACCATTCTCACGATCTGACTTGATATCTTCGTGGAGTGATCCGATAGCACCCTGCTGATTAGCTACCCTGACACGACGGCCACGATAAAGTTCCATTTTTTCTTGAATGTCATCAACTACGTTCAGTGCATCCTCGATAAGTTCAACAAGCTTGTATAGAGCACGGCGAATGCAGTCTCTAAGTTCTTCAAAGAAAAACCCCACAAAACTGCAGGCATTGCAGGTGCCTAGTCGTCCTGTAGTTGCTTCTGTTTCCTTTTCAATGCCGTGAAATATACCATGTGTATGGACGTTGTCATCATTCCTTCGCACATGAGCATCGTACTGATGACGAAGGAAGTTGCGGACTAATTATAGGAAATCTGTGAGTCGCTTTGACAACTCCTCAGTTGACGCAAAATCTTCTCTAATTTGCTGTAGCACTGCCACCTGGTCATTTACAAGCACACCTGTTACATAGTCCACCGCAGTGAAGAGCTTTTCCTCACCACAAGTAACCAGTGCAAGGACATTGTAGAATGAACTTCTTGATATCGTGCTAATTTCCGTGTCTGTGCAGTAGCGATCGTAATCCTCATACATGTCCATCCTTGATCTACGTCGACGCAATGCAGGCAGGGAAACAATTTCTTGTTCATTGAGTTTAACCTGTTTATGACCCCATGACAATGTCCCAACATTGAATGGATGCAGCATAAATTTAGCAGCGTCCTCCACTGCATTCTCATTGAACCTCATAATGTTGATTCTACTCTTCTCCAGTTCCTGTCCCCGCTCCTTCTTTTTGTAATCTGTGTATCCCTGATCAACAGTGCGTCCTCCTATGGATAGCTCAGTTTCAACTTTAATGGCATCCAAAAGAGTTTTTGATAATGCTTTCACCAGGAAAGCACGCATAACCCTTCCCTGAAAGCTTCGATTTGGGGCTTTTCGTGATACATTAGTTAATGCTGTAAGTAAACTCTTGCGTTCAGTCGGTAAGTCTGAATCTAAACGTAGAATTGTTCGTGCTACATCCTCTAAAAGAACGGAACTTCCTGCAGGGTAAAGTACTTCGGAGATATGCACCAAGGCTGCCATCACGGTTTGAACCATACAGCTCCACCGAGCCCCGCCTTCCTCATTAACTCGCATGTCAGAAATTCGCTGTGCTTCTGAAGGCAGGCTTTTTCGGGTTCCCCTTTCCCAACCGAACGCCTTCCAGATATCTGTACTTGTAGAAATTGGCATCAAATCTCCATGACGTTCTGTGACGTCTCGTTGAGAACTCGTAGATTGAAACCTAATTCGTGCTTTCTTTTCTGCTGGCCTGAGTGAGCGACCAGCATTGTTTTTAAAACCTCTTTCCCCTCTCTTCCGGCTCATTGCCACATGTGCCGGAACTCCATCACAGCGGCAACCACACCGTCTGCACAAGCTTGGACAACTGTGACATGAACCTACTTTGCATTTGCACGATTGTGCAATCGATGACATTGGGGTATATTTCAGGGACTGTCTGAAAAGGATCCAGGAAAAGATACGGTGGAGCGATGGTTGGAATGGTTTCAGGGGCTGTGCTAACATTATGGATGATGTACACACGCCAACGAATAAATGGAAATCTTGTGATGGTGGAAATAGGACCTCTTCGCAGTCCAAAGAGGCCAAAATAACCCCATACACCGACATTTTGTGTGACGCCGATTGGCCCTGACTGAAGTCGCTGTATGAGCTCTATCTCGAGAACTGGCCATTCATTCTACATAATTCCAATTGTGGAGGAATTCCTATTGGACGAGCTATGCAACAAGCATAAATTCCGCCCACATAAACAAAGAGCGGATTTGGAAATTTTGCAAGTGTCCTCAAAAATTGACCCACTTCGCTCGTGGATGTGGTGTTAAATGGACTGCGCGCAATCATGAGCAGTCGGATTGCCGCGCCCCTCCATAGATGCACGTACAATACAATACAGTACGGGCAGCAATGAAGGGGTGATTGTGAAAATGGACGCTAGCAGGCATGTACGTGGACTCGCAAGTCGGAACGAGACAGGGCATTCGCATTCCAGCGTCGCAGTGCCACAAACGGTTGAGGCTCACAGACGGGAAACACGAGCTAGAGAGAGCTTCGCTTGCACGATTCGAACGGCGGAGGCGGACGCATCTCAGATGGTGGTGAGGCAAGACGATGTGGTTCGGACGGATGTGGAGTTGGGAGGGTTGCCGCATCAGTCATGAAGTTCCACGATGGTGGTGATACGAGGCTGTCAGTGCGCCAACACTCGCTTATCGAGAGGACTGTTGGGGTGTGTGTTTCACTGTACCGTCCAAAATGGAAATCCCTCGGTGCTGTAGCGTTTGAGGATGTTGACATCCTCAAACGGTGACATCACCAATAACAACCATGACACAAGGTTTGCAGTACTGAATTGCTGATATTAGTCCAGAACCAGCTTGCGCCTTCGCTCCACAGACGAGTAAGGTCCAACCATTTGGCGTAGTGGCATCGAACGTTGCAGCGTGGGCGATGGAGGCGGTGGAACATGTTCAGTATTGTACTGTACATGTTTCCACTCGAAGCGGCTGAGCGCAAAGCAAAAGTAGCACAGCTTTCAAAGCGGCACTCTGAGTCTCGCGGATCATGCACCCCGGCCCTCTTCGACTAAAGAGTTGCGGCACTGCCACGCCACGTGATGATCGCGCTCCTCACGCTCGATGGAGGCGCCATCTGCAGCGGCGATCATGCCGCGGAAACCAATAAAAAACGCCAACAAAAATAGCGTATGACCCTCTGACACTGCGCAAACCAATTGCTGGCTGCACCCGAAGCGGCTCGGGCCTTGTGCAAAGCCCCCCTTCCCGATCCCTTACTGCTTGCCCTGCACCCACCCTCACACCCCCATCCCCGTGTTCCACGAAGGGCCACCCTTGCAGCACGCTCCCGACTCAGTTTCCTAACTCCCTCTACCCACTACTCTCACGCATTCCCCCTCCACCTACCCAATTCGCTCGACCGCTCACTCCCGTTCACCGCGCCATGGACGACGCCGTCGTCATTTTCATCTCTGTCGTAACCGTTATCTCACTCATCATCGCCATCTTGCTCTTCGTTCTATTCATTCAGCGCCGCCGCCAGCGCGCTCTGCTCATGCTATCCATCGCTCAGGAGGAGGCCGAGCGGCGAAGGAGGAAGCGTAAAAAGGCAGGCCTCCGTTCCGCGGAGATCGATGCCGCATGTCCGCAGGCCATCGTCTCTGCTATCACCCAACCGCCCGTGGGCCTAGCGGTTTACACCTTAGACACTCACCCTACGGAATACCAAACCGCCATCACTGACCTTAGGGCGAAGGGCTTACTCCCCGCCACCGATGCCCACCTCTCCGTTGTGTCGGCGCCACCTTTGGCGGCCTCCGACGAGGCGCGCAGCGTGGATGTTGGCGATTTCACCGCGGGCGTGCCCAAAGTTGTCATTAGCTTGCCAGTCGCGATGGAAACATGTGTCATTTGCTTGGAAGATGTCGTTGTCGGGTCCCGCGTCCGCTCGCTTCCGTGCTCGCATGTTTATCACGCCCAGTGTATTAGGGTGTGGTTGCGCAGGAAGAATGCTTGCCCATGCTGTTGCGTTAAAGTCATCAAGCGCCGAAAGAAGCGCGCCCGTACGCTTGGGGAAACTGCCACTGCGACAGAGGAGACACCCGCACCGATTGCAGCATCCGAGGAACCGGCAATGGAATCGCCCATGCTGGCATCGGCGGTTAGAGCGGTGTCAGATAATACGCTTACCTCGCGGCATGACGTTGGAGTCTCCGTGAGAGATAGACCTGCGGATAGGGATGAACATACCATCATTGATGTAATGGAGCCGAGATCGAAGAGTATGAACTTGGGTGTGGATAGACAGAGATGGCCAGGCGGTCCGCCAAGGATTTGTGAATCTTTGCCGAGAAATGCCTCTCTCGTTGACCCGCAGGATCCAACTTCTGAAGTCATCATGTCTGACGCTTCCTCCCACCTTGACGATTCCTCGCGGACCGCTTTAATGTCCGAGGTGCGCCTGGCACTGCATGGAGGATCGTCGCTTCTTAGTGTCAACACGTCTGTCGATGAAATGTCTGATGTGGAATTCCTAAGAGTTGGGAGTGCGGCTAAAAAGTGTGAAGTAGATGAGGATAGTTTTCCGAAAGCGTCCGGTTTGGGTGACGCGGATCTGGAAAATGTTGTCGCGAAGCGACAAGGGAAGAGTGATGTTGTCACTGATGTGTAATGCGCCAATGCCGAGTGTCTTTCGCCTTTCTCTGTTCAACATATTTATTTAGAGCAGTTATTCTACCGTACGTCTTGTGCCAAGAACGCACCCCACCAACGCTTATTTATTTAGAAGCAGATTTCCAAAGACCAATTCGCCTTTTGGCTTGAACAGCTGCCATATCGATTTCGATTTCCGCTCCCATGTGATCAACACCAGGAGCTTGTGCATGGTGTAAACTATATCTGACCCGTTCGACAGTGAGTCCCCTCTCGACGTTTCATTCCGAAAAGAATAAGCCTGACCAAGTAGACAAAATTGGAGCACGTCCATGTAAGTCTGAACGTGATCACTCATGAAGTGATGCAGACTTCCCGAAGAGTCAAGCGAATGTTTCACCACCTTCTCCTCGGTTGCAGAAAGTCATTAATTTCGTCTCGCAACCATTCTTGTTCAACCACTTGTAAACCTCTCCCCATGATGTATCGGCGCGTGCCTTCTTGAAGCACCAACTGTGTGACAGGTTCCCCGTTCACGTACATTTCAGTGTTAATCATCGCCTGGTCTAAGTCTCGAGCATCCCCCTCTACAAAATCTTGCCTTCCGAAAGCCCTTTTGGAGGCAAGGCCAAAATAAAACACTTCCTTCTTGCCGCCCCCAAAACTAATCACGAGCGTCGTTAGTCCAGTTATTTGCTCCAAAGTACTCTTCGCCATCCGCACTCCTGCCGCCCAGAATGGTATACTAAATAGCGAGAAGACAAGCGGCGCGCCACCAGTCAAAACTCCGACTGTCCAGAAGGCCGTAAATCCTGTCCATGCCACAGTAAACGCCCCTTTAGATAAAACTTCCCCAGAGATACCGTCAGGAGGTACTGTGATTTTCAATAATCGATTCGCACGGTCGCGGTCCACTGTGACCTTGGTCCCCGCTGGCTTCCGTTTTCTGATACGTCTCCCCGCCCACCCCGTCAGTAATTCAAGTGGTCCCCCTCCAACATCCTGTGGCGTACCAATAGCCCTGAACGCCCGAGACAAAGAGGCCGCATCCTCCGAAGCGAGCGAGGATCCGAGCGCTAACAATTCGCCCGCCACGCCTGAGTCTCTCAAATCGCCACCCTCTTGACTGTCGTGGGTGGCTAACAGCGCATCAAGAGCAGCTCTAGGCGAATCGTACCGATCTTCTGGCGCTGGCTCGAGCAATTTCTGCACAACTGTATAAATGTTGCCGAGCTTGAGTTGCTCGCGTTCTGGAATTACGCTTTCGATATCCATTTTCAGCCTCTTCTGAGGTAGAGAAGCCGGCGGTTGTCCAGTAAACATGTACAGAACAGTTGCAGCCGCCGCGTACAAATCGCTGCGCACATCACCGCCGCCGCCATACTGCTCAGGCGCCATGTATCCAAATGTTCCCACCATAGTCGAGCCTAGCGTCCCCGACCGCATTCCCGCATTGACGCCTCCGAAATCGACAAGGCTGAGCCTCGGTTCCTTGCCGTCAATATCCAGAATGACATTACTTGGCTTGACATCGCGGTGCAGCACGGGCGGATTGAGCGAGGCAAGGTAGTCCAAAACCTCGAGCAGCTGTCTGAAGGTGGCGGCGACCTGCTCAGTGGTGAATCTCCTTCCTTCATTTAGCCACTCCTGAAGTGCTTTTCCTGGAGCTTTGCGCTGGACTAGGACAAAGACTTGATCTCCCTTCACGTCGACATCAAAAAAATCAATGTAGCGCGGGACAGCCGGGTGCGACAGGGTACGCAGGGCGGCTGCTTCGCGCTCGAAGAGCTCGAGAGACTTCCAGTTAGACATGGCTTTGAAGGAGAGGGCTTTGAGAGCGACGGGGGAGGGGGCCTCAGAAGCGGTAAGAGGCTGAGCTTCGTAGGTCAGCCCGTTTGCACCACGTCCTAGCAAACCCGTTATGCGGTATCGGGAGGCGACAAGATCGCCGGGCTGGAAGGGGGAGCTGGGCCAGGGCGTGTCCATAGTGTCCGCGGAGGACGGGTAGATTTGTGCGCGAACATGGTTGTGGCAGATTGGGGACGAGGAGGGAGAGCGGGGGCGCTTGAGACAAATTTGCGTGCGGGAGGAGAACGAATTTAGTCTTGAGGGGCATGGTTGTTTAAATGGATGCGTGTAGGTGGGAAGAAGACTGGTGAGCTGGAAAGCCGGAGCTGAAGCCATTTCGGCGGGTAGCACAAATGAGAATACTGGTACAGTACGAATAGGGAGAGAGACGGGAGTAAAGGGATAGGAAGCCGTGCGTAAATGGCACCTTCTTGTGAGCACAACTGCTAGCGTACCATAAAGGTAGGGGTCGAGCGGTCAGGGTAGAGGTTTGGAATGTGGTCCCATGAGGCGGAGCAGGCAAGAGGAGATTGCGCTGTACTGTAGCTATGATTAGACTATCGAAAGGTTCTCCAAATATTTCATTTTCAAGCTATAATTCAAAACATTTCTAAAAAATGCACGGCATGGCACCTGGGCATATCGGATGCGTGAAGCGCTGCTCTCGTCCTATTCATGAGGGACGTCGAGTGTACTACCTCGACGAGATGTAAACAATTTTAGCAGAACTGTGTACGGCACATGCTTTAGACACCTTCCGAAGACGCATCGAGGGGCGCAGCGGCAGTGCTAAGCCAAGATAACGATTTTCCGATGGGCGACATTAGTCCGGAAGAGAGTAGGACCCAAGACGAAAGCCGTTGACAAGACCAGAGACGAAAGGCCACTGCAGAACGAGGCAGGGCTAAAAGGGGATGTGGGTACAGAACGCCTCGTCCGACTGCTCAGCCTCGTGGACGAGATCAACGGCCCAGTCCGGGACTCTTGTTGTTGACTGGGCAGGAGTCTTCGGGATGTGAGAATATGAGGACGACGAAGACTGCGACGGCCGTTTCCGGTGCCATGTGCGAGTCAGGCGTGAGAAGGAGGAGGAAGAGGGGCGCGATATGCTTTGATCAGAGACGTTCGATTTGGAGGATGGCATATTGAAAACAGTAGAGCTGGGGTGCTGATGGAGCATGGGGGAGGCATACCGTGAGGGTCGAGAAGCTGGGCTCTTAAAGTAAGAGCAATGGTCGAGGGGCGAATGTTGTGAAAAGTCTATCATAGGGCGAGATACCCCACCACGTGAATGGGTCACGCGGTGAGGAACAAACTTGCCTTTGTTTAGGGTTAGAGTAATTTGGTATATACAGTGCGCGAAACTGCAATAAATACACCATCGACGAGAAACATTCTAGCACTTCTTGTGGGGTCTGCTCGAAGTTGCCACGTATGCGGGGCAAGCACTCGCCGATATTAACACCTGTCAGTTCCAAACCACCATACCAAGCACGGTTGTCGATCTATGTTTAAAAAACTACACGAAATTGATATAAATACGCGAAATTTGATATGACACAAAACAGAAACACGTCTTTAATACTTTGTTGCGCCACCACGCGCGTCCATAACCGCATGCATACGACGCGGTAGACTCTTGCAAAGCGTCAATAAAAGCTCAGAACCTACTGTAGACCAAGCTTCCTCGATAGCTACCTTCAAATCTTGGACATTCTGGTAATGCTTGCCTCTGGCATAAACCATCCTAGCCATCACACCCCAGACATTCTCAATAATGTTAATGTCTGGGGACTTCGGGGGCCACGGTAGGGTAGAAATGGCGTGCTCAGATAGCCAGCTCCTTGTAAAACGCGACGTATGAATCGGTGCGTTATCTTGTTGATAAAACTAACGCTGCGCTTCACCAAATACCTCCGACGCGAACGGCAGCAAACCACGACGTAGAACATCAAAATACTTGATAGAATCTTGTCTGCCGTCCATGAAGATGAGCGGAGATACTCCATAAAGACTAATGGCTCCCCAAACCATGACCGAAAACCAACCATTTTGTCTTTTGGAAAACATGCGCTCTTTAGAGCGTAAATCATGCCAGTAGGATGCCAAGCCATCAGGGCCATCACCGTTGAACTTCTTTTCATCGCTAAACACCACAGAATTCCAAAATTCTTCACAATTGCTTATGAACTGACGGCACCATTTCACCCGATTTTCTTTGTGTAGAGGGGTCATTTTTGGTGCCGTTATCATTTTTTTATACTTTAAGTAGGGTACGGCGCTGAGTATTTGCTGAACACGTCTATGGCCAATGGGTTTTTTGAGCTCAGCCTGTATCGTTCTCGCACTTTCTTCTCCCTTTAGGGCCATTCGGATGATTGCCCGTCTCTGTGTCTCAGATATTTTTTGTTTCCCTTCCACTGCCTTGTGTGTTTATGTCTAAAACCTTGACAAACCACACCTTGTACAGCACCAACGGAACGATTTACAATGCCAGCAATGCCTCTAAATGATACACATTCTGCATGAAGCGCTAATATCTGGCTGCGCTCAATGTCGGTAATAGCAGGCCCGCGGGGCATAGTACCTGTCGTAATAGTTGGAAAGATCACCGGCAGTTGCACAAGCTACTCTTAAAAGCCGATTTGCTACTGTTGAAAGCGTTATATAGTGCATTGTGCTCATGTTTTGGCGCCTTCAAGGTACTGTGCTATATGGACGTTCGCGTATTTATGCCAATTTCGCGCGGTTTTAGAAGTCTAGCTTGAGAACGGTATTCTTGGGGGTCAGTTGGTCTTCACATGCGTTTCTGCTGCTTGGCCATGGTACTGTACAACACACGATTCTTTAAAAGGGGGTTGGGAAGTGTTGTTCATGTGTTCCTCGATGGGTGTATTTATTGCAGTTTCGCGCACTGTAATGGACAGCCCCATGCGACTACCCTTCCAGAATGGTGTAAAGAGAAAAATGGTCTAATTAAGAAATCTGGCATATCCAAGGTCAGCTGCTGCACAGCAACAGTTGTTGACACAATTGATGTTGACATCAAAAATATATATTTCGCGTTGCCTCAGCAACGTGCTTCTCATTTTGTGGCTGCACAGTGTATCCAGCGAGGCGGCTTTGGCGCCAACAGTATACCATTTACTGCAAGAACCTAAACACCAATACCAAATCCAAATTCGGATCTTCAATGCCCGCCCTTTCGATTCTGCTTTCGATTCATAACTGAAATAAACAAGACTTGAATTCTGATCCTCTTCCGCACACACCAAAACCTACTGTCTGCCACTTTCCCCCGTTTAATATGCCAGAATCCATGCGCCGCCAGTCGGCAAAATGTCGTAAAAGAGACAGTCGAGACGAGGAACGGCGCTCCGCACGCCAACAAACCGTTGACCTCCTTCAATCCAGCTCCGAAATTTCAGCCCGTGATGTATGCTCTCAGACTGGAGTCAGCCTGGCTATCTACTACCGCATTAGAGGAGCAATTCGAAGCAAAGATGATCAACTTCTGAAAAAAATGCTGAACCCTGCGAAGCATCGCGCCGGGAAGCATCGCGTAATAACATGCGAGGAGGAGTCTATGATTTGTGATCGACTTATCTATGCTGCATCAAGGGGATTCGCGGCTGAAAAGTTAGACGTTAAATGTTTAATGGCCCGCATCGCGTGTGATGGACGCAATGAATATTATTATGGCTTTCCGTCTGACGATGTTGTACGCAGTTTTAGAGCTCGAAATAGAAACATTACATACCGCAACTCCGAAAACAAGGATATAGAAAAGCTACAAGGTGAGAACTACGGACACGTCAAAACATATGCTGATGTTTTGAGGCAAGTGGATAGAGATTTTCCTGGTATGTTGCATGACCCGGAACGCATTTGGAATATGGATGAAACCTCCGTAAGTGCAGAGTACGGCAAGAAAGTTAAGGCTTTCGTCTCTGCAAGCACACACCATGGTGGTTTTAAATCAGTCACCACAAATTAAGGACCCGGATTGCATGTCACGGCTGTTATTGCAGTCTCTGCCTCAGGAAGAGTTGCCCCGCCTTTTGTCATCGTGGCTGAAAAAAATGTGATGTCAAGATGGTTTCTACCTCTGCGTAAGGACAGGTACAAAGTAGAAGGCTCTAGTTTGTTTAAACTAGGAAAAGGCAAATGGTTTCCGACCGACGGATATGTGTGCACAACAGAGAATGGATCAATGGAGATGGATATAATTCCAAAATTTATTGAGCACCTAGACCGATTCGTTCGCAAAACGGTCCCTAGATCAGCTCCCTATCTTCTATGTTTAGATGGTCATAGCTCTCGCAATGGTATTGAATGGCTCGAGTTGGCGGTGAGGAAAAACTGCCAGGTCGTACAGAGCCCCTCATCCACCTCTCATATACTGCAACCTTGCGACCAGTACGTTAACAAAAAGTTTCAGAGCATAGTCAGAGAATCAAGAGACGGTCTCTGCAAACTCCGGCCAACCGATACAAAGGCCATACAAATTAAGCTCATGTGCGCCGTTCGCGGGTACGAAGGTATCACTGTGAAAGACGTTCGAGAGTCTTTCAAGAGTACCGGTCTTTGGCCAATGGATTTTAAATTTGCCGAGCGGTTCAAGCTTCATAGTGATGGTGTGAAAAAGGAGGGGAAAGAGCAGCTCCGTAGGATTGAGTGTTGCGGGCCCGCCTCTAGGCTTCCCACAGTGCAACAGCGCCGCTCTGACAGCACTACGTACCAGAAATTGATGGAAATTGTGCACGGACGTGATGGAGCTTCCACGAAGCTTCGAGATGTGCAGGTACTGCCGAGAACGCAACAGACCTTGAATAGTATACTGATGAGTCTGGGCCCTTCGAAGGACGATTCAAGAACAAACAGCAGTCTTAAAAACAGACAGACCCGCGAGCGTAATACTGCCCTATTATCTGGAACACCCGCCCTGTACCTCACACATGGCGAGGTTATTGAGGCAAAGAAGGCACGGATTGAGAGGGAGGCACAAAACGTAATTGAAAATGAGAACGCTCGAAAAATGAAAGAGATGCAGAAACGAGTGGCATTAGAACAGAAGTTGGCAAAAAAGCTGCCATTGCAAAAGAAAAGAGGGCTTCGCGTGCTCTGAAAGAAGCCGATAAGGCGAGAAGGGCAGTTAAAAAATGCGCGGAGGCTGCAGCGAGGGCACAGAGGAAGCTGAATGTTCAAACAGAGAAGCGCTCTCGTAAACGGAGCAAGACGAATATTTCAGATACGGTCAGATCTGGGGTTGACAAAGAGAATTTTGTCAGGGATGGAAACAAGGGAAGTGATGGACTAGCAGGGCTGACGACTCTTGCTGATGCTTCCTTGTCCCAAAGCCATACTGAGAGTGTTTTTTGAGATAAACTACCTTCTACAGATCGATTTTTGTCATTTTCAAATTAGACCATTTGAGCAAATTTTCACCTCCTGGCACTCTTTCTTTGAAAGGCCATATGTCCAGATATATTTGGATCCAAACAGTGGGATTGCGTGATGAGCTGTAAAACTCCGTCGATGGACATCTGGTCACTTTCTTCAGAAAATGATGATGTTTTGTGAGCTGTAATCGTACGTGGCAGAAACGATTTCCAAATTTGACCACTCTGGAAGGGTAGCGCGTGGGTCTGCCCCGGGGGCAGATTTGAACAGACGTGTCTACGCAGAATCCTTCACGAACAGCGCTCCGATTACCCAGAGGTTCCGTTGGGTTTGAAGAGCCGGTCGTAGGCTCTTCTAGACATTAATAAACTGTTTAAACTATTTCCTTCAAAGTTTTTTCTGGAACAATTCCCACATTGATCAGTTGCTGTTTTTCCCTTACTTTTTTCTCGACAATTCTATTGGCCAAGTGACGATCCGCCACCATTTCTTTCGAGCACCGCATGTATCTCCAGACCCTCAGCCGGTGTGTTCCTCGCTGCTCGCGCGCTGCTCACCTCGCCGCTCGCTGGGTGCTCTCTACGACGCTCGCTCGCGACTCGCTTCTCAGCCCGCTTATCGATCGTTCGCCACCAATTGCTCTCTAGTTCTCTGCCCACCGCTTGCTGGCTTTTCGCGTCGCCGCTCGCGCTCTTACTGCCCTGCCACTCCGCCGACACCGCTCCGTCGTCGCTACTCCGAAATAGCCGCGCCGTCGTCTCCCACCGCCACTGGCGC